AAACGTTACTTTAAGCTCTAAATAACACTTCACAAATGTACTAGGCTAGTTTATAAATATTATTAACTTAGATTAATTTATAGCGTTTTTATAAGTAACTTATAAAGACTTAAATAAAAAGTTAATAGCCCTAAGTTACCTAAACACTTTATAATAAAAAAAAAAAAGCTTTACTTTACACTTTACTAAGTTCTACTAACTTACATTTAATACAAGCCTAAACAAAATAGGTCTAATTACAGCCTTATATAACTCCCTTTTAACTAAACTATAACACGCTATAGTAGGAGAACCCCTTCTAAACAACCTTAATGCGTATGTAAACCTAATTGCTACCTATAATAATAACATAAGGTTCCTCCCTGTACAAGCCCTAATACACCCCTAAACTAGCGCAGTTATAAATAAGAACTCTAACATAATAAAAATTAATTTAAATTATGCTCTAGTTAGTTCTAGAAAGTGTAAAAATTATAAAAAAAAAAGTTAATACTTTAAGTGTAGTAAGCATAGTTATATTTTTTAAAACTACTTTATTCTTTTTCTTTAAGTCTACGCAAGTAGCGCTGCTAGCACTTATTAAAAATTCTTACTATTCTAATCTTATTTTTATAAGGGCTTTAACTTATATTTAAGCTTTAATTTTTTTTACTACTTTTAACATAGCTGCAGCTATAGCAGTAGAAGCCTGCAAAAAGGCTTGTTCTAGGGCTAAGTTACCCTCTAGAACTAATTTAACACTAGATCTTTGCTAACTTATAAGCTAAGTCCCCTACTAATAACTAAAAGTACTAAGTTAATATTTTTATATATTTATAATAAAAAACTATATTAGCCCTAATATAGGCTTTTATTAACTTAGAAGTAAACAGTATAAGTTATATTAATAAAGAACTAGTGCATAAACTAAATCTTTAATTAACACTACTTACCTAAATAATTTACCTAACTAAATTTAATAAAAAATAACTTAAAAAAGGTTTTATTTTTTATACTACAACTATTATAATTACCTACTAACACTATAAGAAGTAGATTAAGCTCTATGTAATAAACATAGAACATTATAACCTAATTCTAGAACAACTATAGCTGTATTAGCATAAGGTTGCCTTTAATTACTAAAAGTAAGTTTTAAACTTTAACTTTTTTTAATGCTAAGATGTATACTTACACTTACACTTAAACAACACCTAAGTAGCACTTAATATAAAAGGTCTCTAGACCTACTTCTTAATAACCTAGAAAAAAACTACTTAAGTAAGGCTAATAAGCTAGGCCTTTTACTAAAATAGGCTATATAAAATAATTTAATAACTGCTTAAACTTAAAGAAAAAAAAGCTTTTTTAGAATCTTTACTTACTTAATTTAGACATAAACTAGAACTTAAACAGTAAATAGACATCTACTACATAAGACCTGCCCTATTTATAACTCTAGCTTAATAACTAGATTATAAAATCTACATAGTTATAATTTCTAATATAGACTAAGCTCTAGCTTCTTAAAAACGCACTAACCTAAAGATAATAGTCTTTTAAGACTACTATAACTTATTATATGTCTTTTTTTAAGATAAGTCTAATAAGCTTTTAATATAATGTCTATATAATTACTAGATAACTCTTAAGCCTAGTAAACAACCTAGTTATAAGCTACTATATAGAATGTTACTAAATAAATTAAAAGTGCTTTAAAAATACCTTAATAAGAACCTAAAAAAAGGGTTTATTTAAGCTAGCTTCTTACTAGTAGTGTTACTTATACTATTTATAAAAAAACTTAAAAGTAAGCTTTAATTTTATGTTAACTACTAAAGACTAAACACTGTTACTATTAAAAACTAATACTTAATTTCTTTTTTATAAAAAACTTTAAGCTAACTAAGTAAAGTAAAGTATTTTATAAAGTTAGATATTATTACTACCTTTAATAAGCTAAAGATAGTAAAAGGTAATAAGTAGCTAATAGTGTTTTAAACCTAATACAGACTATTTAAGTACCTAGTAATGCCCTTTAGCTTAGCTAACACGCCTAGTACTTTTTAACATTTTATAAATAACTTGCTCTAACCCTACTTAGATGTGTTCTGCACTATGTATATTAATAATATTCTAATCTACAGTAATAGCCTTTTAGAGCATAAATAGCATGTACGCCTAGTGCTAAAAGCTATAGAAGAAGCAGGTCTATAACTTAATGTAGATAAATGCAAGTTTTACTAATTAAAAGTTACATATTTAAGATATGTAATCTTTATAAATAGCATCTAAATAGACCCTATTAAAGTTTAAACTGTACTAGATTAGTAATACTTAAAAAATATAAAGAATGTTTAAGCTTTTATAAGATTTACTAACTTTTACTAATAATTTATTAACAACTTTTTATAGTAAGTAAGCTTTATAATTACACTTACTAAAAAAAAAATTTAATTTAACTTTAACTTAAATTACTAATAGTCTTTTAACTAGCTAAAGAAAGCCTTTACTAAAGCCTTAATACTCTACTACTTTAACTCTAAACTACTAATACTTGTAGAAGCTAATGCTTTAGACTATGTAGTAGCAGAAGTTCTTTCTTAGACTAAGCTAGATAAGACTATTAAGCCTATTACATATTTCTTAAAAAGAATAAGTCCTATAAAAAGTAATTATAAGATCTATAATAAAGAATTACTTGCTATAGTACACTGCTTTAAATAATAGCAACCTAAACTAGAAAGTGCAGCGCATCTAATATAGGTCCTATTTAACTATAAAAACTTATAGTACTTTGTAACTATAAAATAACTTAGCTACTAATAAGCCTATTAGTTTAAATACTTATCTTATTTTAATTTTAAGATTACTTATTATTCTAGTTAAGATAGAGAGAAACTAGATGCTTTTATAAGGCAATCCTAAAACATCTTTGCTTAAAAAAAAGTGTAAAAAGCTTAACACTAAACTTTACTTTAACTTAAGCTATTTTTAAACCTTAACTTAAACAAAACAAATTAGATAATTAATTAAATTATTACTAATAAGTATCTAAATAATAAATTTATTTAAAAAACTTTAGACCTACTCTAAAACAGCGCTAGTTAGTTAAAAAAGGTAACACTAGCTAACTATAAAAACTAAAATAGTAAGCTATATTACTATAACTAACTTATAATTTTTAATTCTAATAAACTAAGAATTAAACTACTCTAAATTGTACACAACTTGCCTGTTAGAGAACACCTAGGCAGAGGAAAGACTCTTAACCTACTACAGAGAGAGTACTACTAGCCCTGCATGTTCTATACTGTACGCTAATATGTATTATGTTGCTATACTTACTGTAAAGCAAAGGCCTTTTAAGAAAGGTATAATAGCCTACTTAAACTACTTCTAATCTCTAAACAAGCTTAGAAAGATATATTAATTAATTTTATTATAAACCTACTTCTATCTAAAAAGTACATAAATATTATAGTAGTTATTAATTACTTAACTAAGTATTAACACTTAATACTATGTTCCTCTATAACTGCCCCTAATATAGCCTAGTTATTCTACTAATATGTATAAGTTTACTATAGCCTACCTAACATAATTATATTAGATAGAGGTACACAGTTTGTCTTAGCCTTCTAGAACAAACTCTGTAAATAGCTCTAAATTGTCTTCTATTTATTTACAGCTTTTTACCTAGAGACTAATAGCTAGACTAAGAATGTAAACACTGTAATAAAATAAGTCTTATAAGTGTATATAAACTACTAGTAGGATAACTAGGTAAAATAGTTAGCTACAGCACAGTTTAAAGCTAATAACATAATATTTAAATTAACATAAGTATCCCTGTTCTTAGCAAACTATAGATACTACCCTTAAATAAAATTTAAACTACTTTTAAATACCCCTTAACTAACTTATTAATCTGTACAAGTAATAGATGTAAATAAACTTATTAACAAAATCTAAAATATATTTAAATATATTTATAAAAAGCTTACATAGGCTTAAGCTCTTTAATAAGAGTACGTAAACTAATTCTAAACCCCTGCCCCTGCATATGCAGCTAGCAAGAAGGTCTAGCTAGACACTAGAAATATCTAAATAAACTAATAATTAAAGAAACTTAATTAAAAGAACCTTAGCCCCTTTACAGTAGCTTATATAGTCTTATTACATGCTTACTAATTAATCCTACCTAACAGCATAAAGATACACCCTGTGTTCCACGTATTGTTGCTGCGCTAAGTAGCCCCTAAATCTAACTATCTACCTAGACAGCTAAACCTGCCACCTAAACCTATTATTATAAATAACAAACTAGAATACATTATAGAAGACGTTAAATAGATCTAGTTTAATAAGAAAAAACGTATTTATAAATACCTTATAAAATAGACTAGATACAACAAACTGTTGTAGGAACCTGCAGAAGCCCTACAAGAGAACTCTGCAGTAACCTAATTCTACGCCTAATACCCATCCAAACTAAACCTGTACCCTAATAAAGACAACCTAATGCTGGAACCACTAATGTAAAGGATTCCCTTCCTAATAAGGGGGGGGGTACTGTCACAGTATCCTCCCCAGATCCTAGACATAACTGTATTAGACGCGTACTAGAGTATTATTAGTGCACGTCTAACATAAACATAACACAACATAGACATAAACTTAAGCATAAACTACCTTAACACTAACTAAACCTAGAACAGGCTTAATTTATACCTAAAGCGCTTAGACTTTTAAGCTAAGTATTTAATTATTAATTTCCTCCTAAACCTTCCTGTTCCTCACACAACGTCTTGTACCTACCATGATACCTCACGTAGTAATTGAACTAGACCTCTGTGAAGCTCTATAACCTTACTCGTGCACAATCGTGACAAAAGGTGCGAATAATCAACCAACAGTTAATTATTGCGTACAGAATAGTATATACACCCGTCGCACGTAAGCACCATCTCGGCCTTACATTATCCCCCTTCTTAGCAGACGCATGTCCCAGGCGTCACATGACCTACCCGCAGCTCAGAGGCGCCTATGCGCATGTCTCGGTTACCGGCCAGAGGCTGACCACCTGCGGCTCAGAGGCGCGGGATAAATAACGACGCTTAGTGGCCCACGCCAGCTAAGCCATATACACTAGACCTTCCAGCAGCAACAACGTGGCGCCAGAAGAGGCCGCCTCACGTTTCAGTCTAAAAACTGGCTTAAAGCTGACCGAGGTGGGGGTCGAACACCGACCGTACCCCGCTGTTGGTTGATTATTATGTAAGGACGGAGCTCTGTACCACTACGCCAATACAACCAAAAAGGTGCGAATAATCAACCAACAGTTAATTATTGCGTACAGAATAGTATATATACCCGTCGCACGTAAGCACCATCTCGGCCTTACATATAGCGTGTTATAAAGAAAGTTTTAAGTTTTATTTAAAAGCTTAAACAGCAAGCTATATTTAATGTTCTTTAGAAGATTTAATTTAGTGTTATTGTTAAGGCATTATGTAGATAGGTAGAGTGTGGTAGAGGCTTAGCAAAAGTGGCTAGCCAACCTGTATAGCTAGCCAACCTGTTAGATACGTTATAAGATTTTTATAAAAAGCTTTTTTATAGTTATACTTACACTTAAACTTTACTTTAAGCTTTAAGTAACACTTAATAAATGTATTAGGCTAGTTTATGCTAACATAGCCTATATTATGCTTAGCATGTAAAGAATTAGCTATATTAGCTATAGCTGCTAGTTAGGGGGGAAATCCTTGCGCATTTAGCTTAAGTATGTGCTACATAATTACCTGCTTCTTATTATTATCTAGCTTTTATAAGTTAGCTGTATAATTAGCTTAAAAAGGTTATTTAGTGCGTTAGTTGCTTATTATCTTTTAAAAAACTCTGTAGATAGCTGCAGCATATTGCTTAAAAAGTATTACATTTTATTTAAAAGCCTAGAGTGTAAGCTACATCTAATGTTCTTTTAACATATCTAAGTAGTGTTGTTAGGAATGCATTAGTGTAAGAAAAGTAGTGTAGTAGGGTTTTAGCAAAAGTAAGCAACTTAGGTGTGTAAGCAACTTGCCTATAAAGTACGTTATATTTTTTTACTTTTTTAAAACACTTTTAATATATTAGCTGCTGGAGAACGTTCAGCCCTATTCACATTCTTAGCGGCTTAGCAAAGGGGTGACTTCTCCGCGGGTCGCCTTTTGCGCTGGCAGAAAAACCGGAGATCCTTTATCGAGAGGTAGATGAAAGTTTGTGCAGCGGGAAGCACTTGAGATTCTCATTGGCGAGAGTTGGCGCGGATCATGTTCGGGCAGTTGAAGCAGACCGCATGCATTGCATGAAGGTTCGAACTACAGACGCAGCGAGCATATGAGGTCCCGGTTGGCTGAGTTGACCACGAAATGAAGCATGAGGCTTCAGGCGATACATATTTGCCCTGTCATAGAGCTCAGCACCAGCCACCTGACTTTGTTCGTTTAATTATTCTGCCGGGTCAGGGTCCATCATGGCTCAGCAAAAAAGCACATGCTCACGGACCAATATGTGACCTTGTGGTCATGCCCGTCACAGTGACAGATGTGAGAAAGGAAAAACTGCGTAGGTGGTAAACAAGAGGGCTTTTCATTGGCACAATCTCGCACAGGCTGACTATGGAGCTTTGAGCCTCGAAGACTGTTCTAGCCCCTCCCTCAACGGCACACGCGAGCCCCTGTTCGATCAGGGCAAGCGCCATCACGGCTCAGCAATTGGAGAAGTCCTCACGGACCCCATCGGAAGCAAGTGAGGCATTTATTCTACAGAGCGAAGCGCAAGAATCGCGTTCTTATTGGCAGCCTTTGACGTGGACGTGGGGTGGGATCCCGAGGTCCGATTTCTCACGTGTAATGTGAGGCATTTTTCGTCACCACGCCTCACTTTCACTGAAAATTTTCCAGTCCGCGCAAAACCATGCCAATAAGAAGCTCATCTACGTACCACTCTGCAGTTTTACATCGACCATCTTGCTCGAATGAAGATCCTTGCAGTGCTGACAAGGAGGCTATGCGACGAGTTCTAGTTGCTCAGCCGTAATGCTGCCTCCCCAAGCTCGCTACTTGAGGTCCTTCTTTCACATATCCAATCATACGTCTTTGAGAAATTCGGGGTCATTCTTCATGAGTGTTCATCTGGGGCTGTGCTAGAATGTTGCATGAGGCCGCTCGTCTCCAATTTCGAGTTGCTGAGCCGTAATGTTGCCTCCCCAAGCTCGCTACTTGAGGTCCTTCTTTCACATATCTAATCATACGCCTTTGGGAAATTCAGGGTCATTCTTCATGAACCGCAGAAACAGGCATAAGGTTAGACCTGGGACAGTAGGGTTTTTTTCGCGCAAAGGGACGAAAACAGGTTCAAAAGCTACAGGCAGGCAGCGGTTAAGCTATATAGGCGTTGTGGCAGAAGAGAGAGTGGTTGAAAGATAGGCATTGGAGAGGTCTTGACCGTTTTTGGTAAGAGGATTGTTTAGCGAGGCAGCAAGGGGCGCTAGCTGCATTTGGGGTTTTGGTGGAATTGAACACCATTCACCTCTAGCTGTTAGTAGTACATAGATAATGGACAGAAACGTTTTGTAAAGGCTCTGCAAGCTAGATTCTGTAATTTTGTATGCATCCATACGGTTTGTGGGTAGTCGGGAATAGCATTGTGGTACTTGGCTGGCATTGAGCGCTAGCCGCATTTGGGTTTTTGGTGGAATCAAACGCCATCCACCTCCAGCTGTCAGTAGTACGTAGATAATAGACAGAAACGTTTCGCAAAGGCTCTGCAAGCCAGATTCTATAATTTTGTATGCATCCATATGGTTTGGGGGTAGTCGGGAATGGCATTATGGTACTTGGCTGGCATTGAGCGCTAGCCGCATTTGGGTTTTTGGTGGAATCGAACACCATCCACCTCCAGCTGTTAGTAGTACATAGATAATAGATAAAAACGTTTTGCA